TTGAGCGTTTTGAATATTAAGCGGGGTAAATAGAGAAGGGATTTCAATTTTACTTTTCAAAATGAGGGTAGGACACCATGTGTAAGATACTTCGTCCAGTTTTCTTCATTTTTATGCGTTTCTGCATGTATGATTGGTTTTTTTGGCCTTTGAGCGTGACGTTGGATAAGTAACTTTTGCTCTCATGCAAAAAGTTGACGATGCGACTCCTCCAGTAGAAAAATCAGTTGTTTTTCTCATTTATTCCGGCGATAGTTGGTACTATTGCATGCCCAGAAATTATCTGCTGTCCGCTTGCTTGTAGATAAATCTTGGAGGATGGTACCATCCCAGTACATTTATGTCTTGCTTGGCTGTTGAATAACCACGTACAAATTAAACTTATCAAATTCAGCCCTTCGGTGTGCATGGTTCCCACGTACAGCCTCTGAAATTTTTTGGCGCGAAAATGGCTAACTTGTAAACCCTGTACCCTACGCAGTCCTCCCCTTCTTGAGCCCTTTCCGTACCCAGTGTATCCGCGGCAAAAACCAGCAACACTTGCTCTCCTCCTCTCGACCCATAACCCTTCCTCCCTTACGTGGCCTAGGCAGCTGCCAAAGGATCCACGCTATGTAACCATTTAATGCGCCCAACCGACCTCGTTTCCTCCCGCCTCCAATCCCCCCGCCCAAAATCCGCGTATAACACCCCTTTTCCCCACCATCATCCTATCTTTGGCATGCAGCATCCTTTGGGCAACACATCATTTGCCTCTATTCGCGTTGAGCGGTTGGTTTTTGTTTCGTGTTCCTCCTTTTTACCTTTTTTTTTTCTTGTTAACGCGGGAATTTCCCCACTGTTGGCGGATCCAAGGGAAGGGAAGGGCGAGGGATCTTTCGCCTTCCCCCCCCCCCTTCCCCAGAGGCTCAGGTAGCATTTGTTTTACTGTGGGAATCTTTGTTTGATAGCCCCTCTCTCCCCGCCAGGAGCCCTTCCTGTTCTGGTTGTCGCTGCAGTTTAGGGAGTAGGGGGCGGGGAAGAGAGGATCGGGTGCACTACAAAGCG